CCCAAAGGCGCGGGATTACAGGCTGAGCCACCGAGCCCGGCTGATTTTTTTTTATTTATTGTAGAGATGAGGTCTTGCCAAGTTGTCCAGGCTGGTTTTGAACCTGTAGGCTCAGGCAATCCTCTTCACCTCCCTGCTAAAGTGCTGGGATTATAGGCATGAGCCACCACACCTGGCTATCCTGCTAAGTTTTATGTCCTTTCACAAACTTCATCCTCTTGAAAGGAAGATAACTGCAACTGCCAATGTCTTGTGATACTTGTTTCTTTTTGCATGTTAACATCAGAGGCTTCAGGCCAGGAAAAAAAAGTGTCTGACTTGGAAATGCACTCTCTGCACCATCATTTCAGTAAGCCACATCAGATCCTTTTTGAAAAGGTGTTTGACGTCAATAAAGACTTATTTCAGCACACAGTACTGCTCACCTCTCTACATTTTGTCCCTTTGTGGGTTTCCTTTCTCTTAGGCATCTTTCTTCCTTTCTACTTCCAGCTGGCCTCAGTGGGGACTGCTTCCTTTCAATTCACCACACTTTGTCGCCAGTGGCTTTGGATTCAGCCATTCTCATCCACAGCTGGACATCACCGAACATCTCCCAGGGGTAGTCACCGAAGCCAGGGCTGGGGGGTCCTACAGCACACAGGAGAAAGAACTGGTGTCCAGATTTACAACGTGGGTTGGCATTCTCTGTAAATATTTAATCTTGACATGATTTAATTCTTACTATCCCACCTGATAACAGCTGTTTCCAGTCGGGAACTGTGGTTAAAATAAATAAATAAATACACAGATCAAAACATTAAAATAAATAACTGTCTCTGGGACACTGGAAACCATTCCAGGGGGGCATTTCTGCAACTCCCTTAGGTCACCAGTTCCCCCAGGCCTGGGGTTGGAGTGGAATCAGTGAAGAAATTGAATTCAGAAACTGCCCAGTGACCTTATTCCAGAACACCTCTGGTCGGTATCTAGATTGGAGACATGGGGGACAAGGTGTCAGCAGAGCTATCCAGAGGCTTCTTCCTCCATGAAGCCCCGAGCGCCCTTAGCAGGGCCAAGGCCATTGGCAGATCCTTCAAAGGGAAGACGGTGGCGTCCTTCCACCGCCTAGGGGCCTGCCCTGAGCGTGTCCCTACCCTCTCTTCGGTGAGTCTTCCTCGAGTCCGGAGGGAGAAGCCTGCTTCCACGCGCATTCCTCCGGGGCGCCCTTCCCCCTTCCCCCGCGCGCAAGCCGCCGCAGCCCCCGAAGTCCCTCGAGACTTAGCCTCCCGCCCGAAGCTCTCCTCCTCCTCTGATTGGCTCTCCGAGGAACCTCCGACCAATGGGGATCCAGGGTTCGGGTCGACGCAGGCCCGGGGGCGCTGGGGCGGAGGGAGGACGTCGGGCCCTGCGACGCTTCACGTGCGAGGCCGGCGCGGGGGGTGTGGCCGCGGTCGCGTGGCCTCGGGGCCTCACTGTCACCGCCGCTCGGTGCATGTGGGTATCGAAGCCCATGGAGGCATAGGGGCGCCTGAGGGTGCCTGCAAAGCCTGTGCGGGCCAGAGGTGGTTGTGAGGGTGAGTCCCGAGTCTGGGCCTCAGAGGTCCCCACGCTCCCTTCCCAGAAACCTCCGCGCCGAGGGAGAAGGCTCTCTTAAAAGGAGTTGGGCCGCGGCGCTCGGTGAGCGCGGGGCGTCCAGCTCTGCAGGGCCTCCCCTGAAGCCCCACTTTCTTCGCCGACCCGCTTCCCTCGGTTCTGGACGGCGAGGCCCATCTGCGCTGCTTTGCTCAACCTCTCGACGCGAGGCTGGATATCGGGAGGAAGCAAGGCGGGCTGGACTGGGCACCCGAGCGCGGAGAGGACCACCGAGCACACCCCACCTCGGAGCTGTTCCAGGTTGGGCCTGGGGCAAGGCCGGGCGCCGGTGGGTTGGGAAGCTGCTCCCGGGCCGGTCTCCATCCTCTTCTCTCTTGCCGGGAGCGAAATCGAGCCTGTCCTTCCTTGGTTTACCTTTCCGCTCTTTACTGAGAGCTTGGACTTGAACGTGAACTAATCGGTGCTGCCCGCCAGAAAGCGGCACAGCTATGCAGTGAGTGTGGGGGTTTGGGTGCTAAGGCCTGGGCGTGCAGCAAGCCTGGAGTCAGAAGAGTCAGTTTGTTTGGGAGGTGGGATGCTTAACTATCCTCGCTCTGTTGTTAGCCGGGTAATTAACCACACCGACGAACCTAGAGGCCAAACTCTGCCAACTTCAGGGTCAGTCAGGCTCGCTTTGGTCCAGCATGGCTGAGCCAAGGATGGCCGAGTCATTTCTGGGAGTCCTTCCCTCCATGTCCAGACTCTTCTCTTCATCACTGTGCACCCTCTGCTGGTTAGTGTGATAGAGTCAGCCCAGAGAAAAGAAGGTGCATGCGACTTCCTAGAGATAATTTCATACCCAGTATTGTTTGTTTAAAAGGGTTAAATTGTCCGGGCTCGGTGGCTCAGCCTGTAATCCCGCGCCTTTGGGAGGCTGAGGTGAGTGGATTGCCTGAGCCCGCGGGTTCGAGGCCC